TGCTCTATTAACCTATGAGGACACTATCGTTTTAGGTTAAAGCATGAATCACACATGTTTGATAAGGACTCAAGCAATTCTGATTAATGCATCAATTAAATATATTCAATCATTCACAAACTGGGTTCATACAACTGTTCTTAACATACAAGACTAGGGTATACCCAGATGAAAATGAAGTTTACTACATGGAGAGAAGGGAAAACGCCAAGCTTGGAAGCAAGGTTCAAGAAAGCGCTAGGTGTAAGGCGAGCGCTCGGCTTCTGACTTGCGCCTTGCTCGCTTAAGCGTTTTCTAAACGCACCTAGGCATTCCGAGCGAAAAATTAAAAAAATTCCTATAAATTTCAGTAAGACTTAGGCGGCAAAAATTCTCACTGATACCAAATGTTACACAAATTATATCATATACAAATAACTTTAATAGCTTTTGTTAACAAATAGAATAGCCTTGTCCTTGTTTTCTACGAATTATAATTTCTTTGATTTTCGAGCTTGGCTCTGGTCGGAGTCTGAGTCAATGTAACTTGATGTTCTTATTAATACAAGCGAGCTTTTTGCAAAAAAAAAAAAAACTCTAAAACTTTCAGTTTTGAATAATAAATTATTTATTTAAGTAAAATTATAGCATTATAATTTAGTAGGTGAACCTGTGGGACTGTGGGAGCACCGTTTCTTTAACAACCCTTCAAAATAATTAAATTAAAAAAAAAACTCTTAATATGAGAGGATAGAGCTACTTTACCACACCAAAGATAGACAATTTTATCCCTGCTCCCCCACAAAACCTATAACCTAAAAAAGGATTCGCCTTCCACCCCAAAGCATTACTCTGCCTCTACCTTCGCCTTCAAACTGCAAATATCGCACCACCTTAGATTCCACTGACTCTCACCCTAAGACCTGGCCCGTCTCTGCCTACGCCTTCCAACTTCCCCTATCGCACCTCCATAGATCCCTTTGACTCCCACTCTCCTCAGCGAAATCGAATTGCCTGACTCTCCACTACTTCTTTTGTCTTCTACTAGAGGAACCGACAAAGTCTATTGATGGAGATAAAAAGGCCGTAAAAAGAGGGATCTGAACCCTCCATACCTGAGCCAACGTTTCCAGAAAGCAGGGTCGAGATGTTATCCGACCTTGATGTCTCCTTCGCTCCGGCGACGATCCGTCAATGATGCAGGCTATAGTCGATTGCTTGGAGTAAATACTTGCCCAGTCGGAAAGACACCAACTCGGTGGCATGCCTAGCTTCCCCCTTCACCTCGCCTAGGCTACGCCTCGACCGTTTCCCCGCTGCTTTCATCTCTCTTCCATGTAATTAAGCACGCCTAACGCCTTCTCGCATGCATAAGGGCAAAGCACAACTTTGTCCCATCGATGAGCGATTAATTGAGCCTAGGCGTGCGCTTAGCTAAGGGCGCCTTTTTGAACGCTGCTTGGAAGAGAAATCATCATGTGAAGAATGAAAATATGCTCCAAGCTGGAAACCGACACTCCGAGGGTGAGAGATCGAGCTCCAATGTCCTTAGATCGCTCAAATCCACTCCTAAGGTTGTTCTTCGTCACTTTCTCTCTCCGAGGTTCTTCCTCTCTCTTTAGAACTTGAAAAACCGGAATAATGAACAAGAATCCCGAGTCTGCATCTTAGAAGTCGACGCTGAAATGCACGGTCAGAATCCACGGTCGTGGAATTGGAATTTGGACCGTAGATTTCCAAAATGGCGCACAACTATAAGAGGCAGAGGAACCAAATCCACGGTTGGCCACCTTAAATCCACAGTTGTGGAATTGAGGCACCAGACCGGGGATTACCCCTGGACAAAAACCTCGGTCCAATCGTGGAATCCAATCATGTCAAAATGTTGTCAATCATCACTTATTATGTGATGAACAATAAAGCACATGAATTCACACAAAAACCATTCAAGATTTACTTTAATTTGAAAGTTTTAGAGCTTAGAGAGTTAGGGTTAGAGTTAGGGTTTACAATTTGGAGTTTAGGGATAGAATTCAAAATTGGAGGTCTAGGGCTTATGGTAATACATTAATTAGTTGTGATCCTATGTTATATCATCATATTACACTAATTCTACAAATTAAAATTCAAAATTCGACACCTTGTGACTAGTTTTAGAGTTGGGTGCATTGAACGCACTCATTTTTGTGAGTGCACTGAAGTAGCCACCTATATATAAGGCTTGCGTACGCCCGGGCGTACCTTAGCCTACCGTACGCCCGTTGAGTTTTGCTATTTAGACAATGAATTAACCAAAATTTTGGGACATGATACTATATCCTAACCCCTAATGGGTGAACCCCCAGTCCCCAATTCACTAACCCAAAGCATAATATTCATTTAATTTTGAAATGAAAATCAACGGTTGAGATTCGTCGAAATTATTATTGATTTACATTTTAAGATTAAACGATTCTCATGATTTGGGTTAGAAGATTAGGGATTGGGGTTTACCCATTAGAGGTTAGGGTATAGTATCATGCCAAAAACTCCGGTTAATTCATGATCTAAATAGTAAAACTCAACGGACGTACGGTAGCCTAACGTACGCCCGGGCGTATGCTAGCCTAAACCATATATATATAGGCTAGCGTACGCCCGGACGTACCCTAGCCTACCTTACGCCCGGACGTACCCTAGCCTACCTTACGCCCATTGAGTTTTGCTGTTTAGACAATGAATTAACCGGAGTTTGGGGCATGATATTATACCCCAACCCCTAATGGGTGAACCCCAGTCCGCAATTCACTAACCCAAAGCATAATATTCATTTAATCTTGAAATGAATATCAACGGTTTTGATTCGTCGAAATTATTGTTGATTTTCATTTCAAGATTAAACGAATCTCATGATTTGGGTTAGAAAACTAGGGACTGGGGTTTATCCATTAGTGGTTAGGGTATAGTATCATGCCCAAAACTCTGGTTAATTCATGATCTAAATAGCAAAACTCAAACGGGCGTACGATAGTCTAACGTACGTCAGGGCGTACACTAGCCTAAACTATATATATATGATCTGGCCGGTACTTTGATGAGCTCCGACCAATCTCAATGGTCAGTTGTTGTTGTTTTAATTGTATTTCGAGTTTGAGTTTAGAGAATCAAGGCCTAGGGTTTATCTAATAGAGGTTAAGATATAGTATCATGTCCCAAAATTGGTTTAATTCATGGTCTATATAGATATATCTTACTAGGAGTACTTGGAACACACTATGCTCAGGGAGAATACGAGTCTAACTCATATATATACTCAAGAATCAAGAACCACTAGGGTTCGCCAACCTAATAAATAATGAACTATCCACTCATGGGGACAAAATCTAGGATATACATATTTGAAAAGAAAAAATACCTAGCTTTTGTGAAATGGTGGCCTAACAAGGGTAATGGCCCCTAAGGTGCCATTCTGGCTGCCATTTTGCCCTCAACCTTCTAATTACTTACGGTTTGTGGTTAGTTGCTCTAGAGGCAAAGTAACCCCTATAAAAGACTTGTCTTCAAATGCTTGTCGAGGGGTCTATTCATAAGGTTTTCTGAGCAATCTTTTAGGTACGAAATATAGTGTATGAGATGCGACTATATCAAATCTCTCACCGTACAATTTAATGAACATGATTATGCAGAAAATAACATTCTTGAACACCACTTGGATGACCGACATGATGAATTTATGATCTCTAAACAAAATGACGTTGTTTTAGTGAGTTTCGTTAATAAATAATTTATTTTATTATTTTAAAAATTAAATGTTGATGTTATTTGTTGGATTCAAGTATAAACGTTTAAGCATTAACATTAAATATTGTATTTAAATATAATTTTATTATAAATATCATATTTTATTTAAATATCACTCTCAATTGTAACTAAATTGACTTAAATATGTTTTTATATATGATCAAATTCATTTATTTTTAATAGATTTTCACATTTCTACATATTTTGATAAATCGGAATGAACTGATTTGACAACCTTGCATCCAGTATAAAACTAACAGATTATTTTGAAATACCATAAAACTACTTATTTTTAAAATAACATAAACTAACTAGGGCTGGAAGTTTGGTACTGGTATTTGGAATATACAAAATACCGTATCGAATTTATCACTATTTGGTGTTACCGAATACCGGTTTATTTTTTAGGGATTGGGATTGAGATTCATTTTGGAATGCTATTCGGTATTTGGGACTGAGATCGGAATATACCGAAATACTGAGAAATACTGAAAATTAAAAATTAATGAAATATAGCACACAATCTTTGTTCATTCCTCACTCTTTCACAACTCAGAATCCTCTATCCAACTCAATTTTCACTTTCCAGTTTAAGTCACTCTCGTCTCTCGCCTAATCTCTTGTTATTTTCATAACATCAATAGGCAAACACTAGTATTATTCGTATCTCAGCCTCCAATTCGTCAAATTAAAGATTGCCAATGACAAGAATTTGAGATGTCACCTTTTCTCCATTCTCCTTATCCATATCCTAGCTCTAGGCAAACTCAAGACTCTTCGCTTAGTCTATTTGCTCTAAATTAAACAATCACAACTAATTTATATATATTTAATTATTAATTATAAAGGTAATTAATTTTGTATCCGATAATATCGATTGGGATACCGAAGTACCGATTGGAATTCCGAAATATTTAGAGATTGTGATACAAAATTATTTAGGGATTGTAATTTGAATTAATTTTAAAGTAAAATTCGGTATTCGAGATTTCGATATTTGATATTGTGATATCGATACCGTACCAATTTCCACCTTTAAAACTAACACACATTCAGGCGTACTTTTCATTTTTCTTCTCTATCAATGCCAAATAAAATAAAAAACATTGGAAGAGGAACACAACACAAGGCGAAAGCAACCTAGCCCCAATTATTGGTGTATAACACCTTAAATCTGATTTCGTTTTGTCAGAACAGGAACAGTACCCGACCCCTAAGATCTTTCTATTTTCTGTATTTTTTTTTTTGTCTATTTTAGTCGTCCGTCAGACAATTTAGCGGATTTATGTCGTTAATCAGAGGGTTAGTTTAGTTAGTGAACTCCTTTAAATTGAAATGGAAGACAGCCAAAAGAAGAAAGGAAGGTGCAGAATTCCAGTGTGAGAAAAGAATTGCCTCTCCTCTCTCAATCTCTCACTGTCTGCCTCTCTCTTTCAGTAAAGTAGTGTAGTACTACCACTTGCTACTGTCTCTCTCTCTAACCTTCTCAAAATGGCAGCTACAGCCTCCCGTCCCTGATATTTGGGACAGCTAAAAACCTCTCATTTTCATCTACTTGGCTCTGCTTCAAACCTCATCATACCACCAGTCTCTCAAGGGTAAAGTATCCTTCTTTTCTGCTCTCTCTCTCTCTCGCCTCACACATAGCATTGCGGAAACTTTTCTAGCTTTCTTTTTCCAGCGACTAAGATAGGTTTCTCCTTTTGCATCTTGCCCACTGTTTCATGTCCTTTCTGGTTCTTTTATCTTCATTCGTTCCTGCAGGGTATTTCATGAGCTTTGCCAATTTGCCTTGGTTCTTTTATCTTCTTCAGACAATGGCTAGAGTTTCAGCAAAATCTCACTCACATGTGGGTTCTGATGATTTTCCTGTCTCGAGGATCTTATAAGTTGAACTGAGGGAAAAGGAGAGTTGGGGGTTCCTCATTTTCTACTATGAGCAACGGAGAGAGTCTCTAGCCAAGATTCTTTAACAGTGGTTTTACCTGCTCTTTGTTGGATCACGAGGCAGAATTTGGGCCGTTATCTAACCCTCTTTGGTTGGAGAAGTGAATGACAATGACTTTCATTGCTTGATACTGAATTGGTTTCTTTCCTTTTTGTATTTGTGCTGAGAATCTGTTGAAAACTGTATAAAAATCTGCGTTTTGTACTGTGGGATGGAGTCTTGTAGCTATACCTCTGGGGCTAAAGGAACTTTTGTCTCCAGCACAGTTTCTTCATCTTCAGATACTTTACCAAGTACCAAAAGTGCTGCCATGTGGAATTGGGATTTGAGACGAGCTGCTCCATCTGGGTTTGGGAGTAGCATCTTGGTTTCAACTCCAAATCCAATCCTTGAGAGTCAAAAGTTGGAGGAATTAGGTTACCATGAACTGATGGCAAAACCATTACCTTATGAACATGATGACGATGACGACGACAACGATGATGATTCAGTTAGGTATCACTTGAATCATACCAATGGTGTTGAGAGTGTCAGGTACATGAATCCATTTGTGGTAGTCAACTCATATGCACTCTCATTAGAAGATGAGTCAAGTTCAAGGCTTTCTGGCTCTGTTGTGGACTCCAATAGTAGGGATTCTTCATTCATTGATTTGAAGCTTGGGAGGGTTGGGGAGTGCCAGAATTCCCGAAAAGCACCCACTGTTTCACCATCTGAGTCGAACACTCCACCCAAAAGAGCACGATTCGGAATCAACTCCAATGCTGCTTACTGTCAAGTGTATGGCTGTAACAAAGATCTGAGCTCCTCAAAAGACTATCACAAGAGACATAAAGTCTGTGAAGTTCACTCCAAGACGGCCAAAGTCATCGTTAATGGAATTGAACAGAGGTTTTGTCAACAATGCAGCAGGTAACTACATCATGGATTTCCTTAACTAAGTTGTGAGCTACTGTCCTTATCAAGTTGAAGTGGACACAATATGGGTTTCTTATAATTACTTCTTCACTACATATTTTTGTTTCTTTCACGCAAAACCTCTTTCCTGAATGCTGAAGTTGGTTTAACCTTGTATTACCGGTTTATCACACAAAACAGATTGTTAGCTGAACTACCCACCTATTCAAACCCTAAAACCCTGTCAGAAAGTCTTTCCTTGGCTTTGCTTTTTGGTTAATTTCTCTGTTTTATCACCAACTAAGATTTGGATTGCTGTGTAGTAGGTCCGTCATTTGTGATTGTGAAGGAGTTCTCTCTTCTTCTGGTTTAATACGTACTTGCTTTTGGACAAATCAGGTTTCACTTGCTGGCTGAATTTGATGATGGTAAGCGCAGCTGCCGCAAACGCCTTGCGGGTCACAATGAACGCCGGCGAAAGCCTCAAGTTGGTATTCATTCTGGAAGGACCGCCAGACTAATTCAATCCTACAATGGTAAGATGCTTACTTGTCTTGGTATATAAGGTAATTAGATGAACTTGTTTGGTAAATTGCATTACCATGATACCATCCTATGTAGTGTTAATAGACGGAGTTTGTTAAATAGAGGTAACAGCAACTCGCCACTCAGTGAAATCTGGTCAAATCTCTCGTTTCTTGATGAATGTTCCTGATTGTGCTTAGAACATAATGTTTTTCTTTTGTAGTTTGTTGTCATTAGATTCCTGAGAGTCATTGGAACTATTCTCTCGTTTCGGCGATTATGACATGATAAAAAAAAATCGTTACACTGTTTACTCAGCAGCTGCAGGGTTTGGGAGTGGCAGACTCCAGGAGACTGGATTGACATCTTTTATCTGCCAAGATATTCTCCCCGGAAGCCTAGTGTATCCTCAGAAATCTGAATCGAATCACTGGTCAAGAAGCGTGAAACTCGAAGAGGAGAGTGATAGTAATATGAGTGCTCTATCAGCCATTATGCCCATAACGAGCAGCCATTTGCACTCGAAATTCTCCTGTCCCCATAGCTTTGAGAAAATATTTCCTCCAATCCATAATAGTGTAGTGACTACTGCAGCTGCTGGAAGCATCTTCAGTGATCACAGCAACCGGTATCCACATGATGTCGGAGGTTCTTCTAACTCTGGTTCATCATCATGCTCTCTGCCTCAAGATGTCTCCTTTGGTAAAAATGATGACTTCATCAACTTTGATCCAGCATCAACCATTCAAGAGTTATCGGGCGTCAAAATTGTAGACTCTGGTTGTGCTCTCTCTCTTCTGTCATCTCAATCTCAGAGTTCGTCAGGCCATTCGTCAGGTATCCCCCCCACGGCTCATCATCATCGATCATTGCTCCACCCAAACAGCAGCAGCAGCAGCAGCAGCAGCAGCCGTTATGATATGCAACACCAGGTTTCTTCTTCTGCAAGGCTCATAAGATTTGGCTCGCACGTTTCTGCAGCATCAACTTCTGCGGATGTGGGTCACTTGAATCCAATGTTCCTATGTGACTTGGATGGTGACACAGATGGGATTAACCAAGAGGGGTCACATTTTATGAATGCCAAGGACCAGCGCCTTTCGTGCGAAGATGGAGGCCACACGATTGACTTGCTGCAACTGTCGTCACAGCTCCACCGAGTGGAACGCGAGAAGCAGTTGAAACAAGAAGCTGATGCCTTCTGCTGTCCCCGCATCATCTAAACTGCCCGATAAAATAAAATAAAACCGAGGTATTTCCTTTACTCACCTCGCCTATAGAATTGTAGTGTGAAAATTTTGTGTGAAGCAAAGTCAGTTATGGTTCCACAACTTGCAAGTTGTATTCAAAATCTTGTGGTTAAGATTTGAAGTTGCAGAGAGGATGTCTGTTGTGCAAGCCATTAACAATGGGCACCGTCGTTGTTCAACAATGAACATCTGCTGCTGTACTTTTTTGCAGGCGACTCATCGGTGGGAGTTTTGAGTTTTGACGGGGTACCCACCCTTTTCACAGGAAGCACTTGGCGTATTGCTCAGTTGGTTTACCCCCATCTTGTTTTTTTTTTGTCTTCCTTGTGATTCCATTTGGGTAATGAGACCGAATTTACCTGAATCATAATGGATTTATGTGCAAGTAACAATATGAAACATGAACTTCCACACAAAAAAAAGAACTTCCTTTACTGATCGATTTACCTCTTACGTATCTACCGCCCTCATTTACAGGCTAGATTCGACCATTTGTTACGGCGGCTTGTTAAATATGGGAATGGAGCGGGATGGTGAAAACTGCATTTATTTTCCTCCTGAATTCCAATTCCATCAAACCCTTTTTCACCCTTAGCACAAGTGCACTACGAAAGTCAGTGCCGGTCACGTCCCACTGAAAAGACGTATGGGGGGCACCGTCGGATTCGACAAAGATATTAGCTGGGTTTTTCTATTTTTCGTTAATGGCGGATTCTAGCAGGGCAGTTGAGGACAACCACAACCAACCAAAGGTTGCCACAATTAATGGCGATTTAAACTATGAGCCATACAACCAGACCATCTTCCTCGCTGTCGGCAGAAGCGACTGTTGTAAAAAGCCTAACCTGGTGTCCGTCCGCTTCTCCGAGGTGTCAAATGAATTAGATTCATATATATATTGGTGAATTGTACTCATTAATCTATGGATCAAATTGATTAGTGGATTTAAGGATTAGTGGATTGATCCATATATCCAAATGATATTCAAGCTTTTGATCATTATGTAAATTTTTAAAAATTTAAGTACTAAAATGTCATAATGAAAATTTTTAGGTACCAAAACATAATTTTTCAATGATATTTTTCGTATAAAAATATAGGTACCAAAATGTAAAACATAAAAAGTAAAGGTACCAAATCATAATTTATCATTTGGATCCGTGGATCAATTCATAAATTCATCAATCAAATTGGATTTGGATCAAATGGACGGGATCAAATGAATTAAATTTGATCGATAATTTAGTGGATAGATTGGATTGGATTCATGGATATGAATCCTAATTAGCACCTCTAGCTGGACGACAGCCTCACCTAGGGGTGCCCATTCGGTCGGTTTGGTTCTCGAACAAAATCAATTCTTACCTGGCTATTCCAAGCCAAATATGACCGAACTAAATTTTGGTTTCGTTTGTAGCGAACCGAAAAAACGTTGTTTAAGAACGATTTTGATCGTATTGCTGAACCATAAACACACCGCAAGCATTCAATCAACATTATTCGTTCCCTCTATTATCTCATCCCAAAATTAGAGGTTAAATCCCCCAAACCCTAGATTTAGGTTTTGAATGTGAATGTAATTATGTTAGGGTTGGTGAATGGATATGTTTGTTTTAGTGAATTTATGCTTCATTAATGCTTAATTATATATGGGTAAGTCGTCCAACTCTTCCTTACTAGCCTACAGTGCTAGAGAAGTCGCATGCATTCTTATTGAAGCACGTCTCTAGTATGCATGATAGATTGAACCTATTGAGAGGAACTATGAGAGCAACACTAGCATGTAAACTTAGACTGAGGTGACATTGGGTCTTCGTGGGCCGTGTTAGGAGGAGGGAGAGTAGTTATTGAAATCCCCAAATTATAGAGTTTTGAATCCTATCCTACAAACGCGACATAGTTAGCCATTTGCATGATAAACATAGTCTAGGGCAAGGGTGGCACCCCGAAATACCTTGCTTTTATCTTAGCTTTTTTCACCAGTAGCTTCCAATCAACCTTCTACCCAAAAACCTAAACCGGTTGACTAGATAACAACACAGTGAGAAGTAACCAAGGGTATCGAAACCCGTGGAATACGACTTTGGTAACCACTATACTAGCAATGTCATTCTGAGTTATACCTTGGCTCAAAATGGGGTAGTTAGGAAAGTCATGCAATCAATTGACGACCCACACGGGGTGGTAGAAAAATCGTCACCAACCATCCTTATAATTATGGCCGAAAATAATAGGTCTCAATGAGCCGCAAACATAGGGCGAAAATCATGGATGTTCGAAAGCATCCAAGTTCCCTTTTCTACCATAGTTGTAATAATGACTTCGGTTCAAATGAAAATAATTTCAAGGGCTCTGGAAGGAGCACAATAGAAAGATGGACTTGCATACAATAACTCGACAACACTTAGTGATATTTAAGCTTCCATATAATTTGGTGGGGTATTATGAGCTGAGTCATTGTTTTTGGGTCTCTTATTCTTGTTTGCTTCTTTAATCAAATTTGACGGTAGAATGATGGTGGTCTTCATAAAGTTGTAAGACTATGTATGGGGGCTGACACCTGCCTAGTGCCGGAAGGTCAAGAAAGTTGGTAACCTGATGACAGAGGAGTTTGTTGGATTGAATTGATTTTGGATTGATATTTGTATTAAATTATTTTTATTCCATAATAACAACTTAATAAAAGAATACATACATATGTTGGGGAAAAATGTTAAAAAAATGCACAATTGAAGAGATCTTATGTTGGTTAGATTACAAATCAATTATTTTGATATAACGTTATTGAATTACTTGCTTAACGATTATCCAATTAACCTTCAAAATAATCGAAAACCTACTACACTGTTAGTTATATTATAAACAATATGGTTAACAATAAAAATAATTATTAACGGTTAACCAATTAGTGACTAAACAATTACCTTTATAACCCAACCATAACCGACTAACAATGACTAACAACACTAGGAAAATGGCGATGGGGCCAATATGTGTGACCCATGGAGCGAAAAACCTGTTTAAAGAGATCAGAATCCATTGGTAGCGAAAAGTGTTTTATTGTTCTGAACTGGTAGTAAGTAAGTAGTACGTCAGACAGCCAGTAAGTGCAAAAAGAACAGGCAAAACTCAGCCTCCTTCTGAAAGAGAACTCCAAAACCCAAAAGCTAAGAACCTGAAAGGCTCTTCAAACAATGATAATACCTCAGGCATAACAATTCCGGTCTACGCAAGTCTCTCTCGCCCACTGTCTGCATTACAAAAGCTCAAACGCTCTACTTTGAGGAACCATTAGACAAGTCGGCAGATGATGGGTTCAATTCATCCCAGGCCTCAATCCAGGTCACCATGGCATCAGCCAGCTTCACAAAGTAGTCGTCAACTTTGCTCAGCTTGGCTCTTACTTGCTTCGACAGCTCAATGTAGCACTTCTGCACCGTGTTGCAGTCCTTGGGGAGGGCCACGGACTGGAAAAATGGGATCAGCTCTTCTTGCCAGTAGATCCCTTTGTATTCCTTTTTCAGGTTCACAAATGGGTTGCTTGCTTTGCTGTGGTAGATGTAAGGCAATCCGGTCTTCACCCCCAAACCAAGATGGTCACAGATAACCTGCCGCAAATTTTTAATAATTGAAGATCAACATTTCCCTCTAAGTTTTGACACATAGAGAGTACTCGAGAGTGAAGTTTCCAAACCTTGGTACACCAGCCTGCCCACATATCGTCGTAACGCCCGATCGGCTGGCCATCACCCATCAGACCAAAGTACATTGCAGGGCCAATCAACTCACGGTTGAATGCAAGGTTCATCCCACACATTGGGAACAGGGTACCCTTTGGAATAGTCATTACAGCATCCACATACCTAGTGTTCCTCTCGAGAGGCTTGACGAGCTGTGTTGGGGCGTCATAATCAGGGATGTTGAGCCACAGGCCGTGGGATACCGCCGTGGGGACTCCCTCCCGGAGGCTGAACGGATAGCCTCGGACGAAGTCAGCACCACCGCGGTATGGGTCGTAAAGGGTGTTGAAGAAGAATGGAGTTGATGGGCATAGCAGGTTCTTGATGTGCTGTTCCAGCGCATTGATTTTCTTCCCGGATGGTTCTGTGGCAACCTACATTAGGGATGATAACATTACATTACAACAGGAGAGTCAGCAGTCAGCACCAAGATTTCAGCTGGCCCAAATAATCAAAAACCGCATTGGCAAATTACGGGACGAGATACGGTGACAACCCCTTAGGGGTTGTCAGATTCACAACCCACTTCATAGTCTTTGGATACGCTCTCTCTCCTGTCTCTTTCTTCTTTTTTTAAATTAACGGTTAAGATTAAAGGAAGGATATTTTTGGAAGGGTAAAAATTTACCACACCCAATCATTCACCCTACCATATAAAAAGAACAAAAACCCTAACTCCTCCATCCTCCCTCTCTCCCGTAGACATCACCGTCTCTCCTCCACCTCTCTCCGCCGCCACAGCCCTCCCACCACCGCGCCTGCTGTCCCCGCCGCCATGCCGCGCCGCTGTCCTCCCCCTGTCGTGCCGCAGTCCTCCCCCCCCCCCCCCCCCCCCCCCACCGCCGCGCCGCTGTCCTCCCTTGCCCTGCCGCCGCAAGGTCAAGACTCTTCCCTGCCTCCCTATTTTTTTTTCCAGATCTTATAGTCTCTACTGGTACCAATACCTCTGGTAGCATTATTAGTACAAATACCACTGGTAGCACTATTGGTACCAATACCACTGGTAGCGCTATTGGTACGCTACCACTAATCACTGGTACCAATACCAGTGGCTCCCCTATCATCTGGTACCACTATCATCTGTTTTTTTTTGTTTTTTGTGTGTTATTCTCTACTGGTACCGCTACCAATGCTAGTGGTAGCGCTACCAGTGCTAGTAGCGTTGTGTTATTCTCTACTGGTAGCGTTGTACTGGTAGCGTACCACTAGTACTGGTACATTTTTTAGTGGTACCGCTAGTACTGGTACATTTTTTAACGTACTGGTAGCGTACCTCTAGCACTGGTATATTAATTACCAGTAGACTAATAGATTGGTACACTTTTTAACGCATTGGTACATTTTTTCAGATTGCCGGAGGGAGTCTGTCGGAGAAAAAGTTTGTCGGTCGATGCGGAGTGGCTGCTGGAGAAAGGAAGAGAGAGAGAGATAGATAGAGATATTAATGTATAGGATTTAAATTTCAGAAAAAAATTGTATTTAATATGGGTATTTAATTCCCAATATAATTAATACAAAAAAGATAATTAATATATTCATTTTTTTCATACCCAAAATACCCTTGGTTGTGAATCTGACAACCCAAAAGGGTTGTCACCGTATCCTGTCCCGCAAATTACTACATTCATTCCAAACAATTGTGGCACCCAATCGCACAAACATCTGCATCCTCAGAACCTGGAATGAGATCAAGATCT